CATCAAGTTCTCCACATGTTACATTCTTAGACTCTTGTAGAGAACCTGTGATGCTCAACGCCGTTACTGCTATGCCCTCGTTCTATCCTCCTCTATTTTACTTGTTTAGTCAAAAAGAACGACAATTCTCTATGAGGTGGAGGATGTGAAAGTTCTTTACGACAAACAAGAGGCATAAGAATGAGTCTGAGGAGTTCCTCTGAGCAGCATGATAATCATTAGTGGTGGTGGAGGAGGAGGAGGAGGAGGAGGAGGAGGAAGCAAACGGGAGGCACAGGATATGATGAGAAGGAGAGAAGAATAGAGCAAGGGAAGGAGAGAGCTGATGGGAGGCAGGAGGAAAAGAGAGAAGAAGAGAGGAGGAGAAGAAAGGAGTAGAATAGAGTAGAAGAGGAAGGAGCAGATTAACGATCTAGAAAAAGGGAGAGGGAGGAAAAGGATTACCATCTCACGGGTCCATCCTTCTGCAGTTTCATCGATAAATCCCTTCACCTTTGTCAAAATCTCCTTGACATCACCATCCCACCTGAATTACCACGTCAATCATCAACGTCGGAACAATCCTCCTCCTTCACATTAACTCATCATCATCATCATCATCATCATCATCATCATCATCATCAACATCGTCATCATTTCATCTTCATCCTCTCCATCTCTTTGAACATCTCCATTCCATCATGACAGTCTCCGTCATCATGGTTGTTGTTGCCATGTTGTCATATTTTCACGTTCATGTCTTCCAACTCCTCACTTGTAAAATTCAAAAAGATGCCCATCAAAGACCGAGTCCATAACTTGCTTTCCTGTTCAGCAATTAGCGACATCTTCAACACTTTCAACGAGCAAACCGATCATCCTTCCGCCTGCAGTATGCGCAAAGTAGTAATTGTAGAAGTGAGTAAGGAAGACCTACGGGATGTAAACATGACAAACGTTTGCGAGAAAAATCTCACAGGAATGCTGAGAGTCGAGAGGTATTGCGCGTATTCCTTTGACTGCTCAACAAATCAGGTTCATTGCTGTTTTCTCTTTCCAATCAAAGTGTGAAGATTATCAATCGCAAGACAAAACTTTCTTTACATTACAATCTCCCTTCACAGCCTCCCTCTGCTCCTCCTACTCCTGCTCTTCTCCCTCCTGCTCCTACCCCTTTCTCCACCTCCACCTTCATATCCTCCTCCTCCTCCGTTCGTCCTCCTCCCTCTCTTCCTGTCACCATCGCGCTCTTGTTCACATCACAGGGACATCACTAAGAGCCCACCTGATCTGTTGCCTTGAGCGGTTTGATGTTGAAAGACTTCTCAATCCATTCGATGTCTTTCTCCAGACCCCTCACTCGCTCCAGCCCTGTACATCTGTCATCTACATGCTCAACAGCTCGACTCCGTCCGACATCAGCTGTCTCACACCATCAACGTCTCATACGAACATCTATTCTACGTGTACACTGGTCGACCAACACACCTGTGTTTCTGAACTTCTCCAGTCCTGACCGCTGGACTTCTTTCTCAAACGCCTCGTACACCACCTTGCTGTAACTTCGTCGTCAGAGAACATACAGAACATACAGTGCTCTCTGACTCCCAAAACCTCCTCACCTGTCAACAAGAAATTGAAGGTAGTCCTCCTTTGTTGTCTCCCACTGATCCACAACCGTGTTTGCAGACTGCAATCGTATTGTGAGATATCGAACAATGCACGGCAAGAGGACCAATCTCATGTTCAAAACACATCAACCCACGTACCACACAAGAAAATCTCAACAAGACAACCAACATACGACATCTTCAACAAACAAAACACAACCGATACAACACTTCAACACGAAGACATGCAAAATCTTACAGCATCCTTCTGCTTTCCCTCCCTCGGGGCCTGAGAGAAAGTATGAAGGCTCATAGCCTTCTGCCTCATCTCTTGCGTGAAGGGAACAGACGCGACCTCGGCAGACGGCGTGCTCTTGGCACACATCATGGGAGCTAGCGAGACAGTCAGCCCCATTCCTCCACATGCTCTCACCTTCTCACCTGCGTTTCTGAGTAGAAGCGATGTTCGCAGCGATGGCTTCAAGGCATGAGTGAGTTGCCATCGGCCCTCCGCACGTCCACCTACCTGCATGAACGCCGTTGTCGCGGTGATGGAGCATAGGGAGCAGAGCAGGGCAGGAATCAAAGAGCGCATCTGCACCGGCCATAAGCATCATCAGCGCAAACTCAACGACATATCGAAGGCTTCTTCGCGCCGTCAAAAGTAAGTTGCAGAGAAGAGAAGTAAGTAAGTGGGTGGGAAAGATTCCTTTCAGAATCTTGTATCAATCTTACTCCCATTGCCTCATGCAGATTTTTTCATGATAAACATCTCTGGACCACTACGTATATCTCCTATAATGCAACTCTGCAAGGATTCGCCATAGAACGCAGCTCCTTTCCCTCCTTCCTCTTTCTCTCATCAACAACAATGTCTTCGCTTGTCTCTCTTTTCCAATATCCTGCTCTCCTGCTCTCCCCCTCTTCCTCGTCCTCCCCGTCCTTCTCTTCACATCTCGTAAACGTATCGTCTTGCCATGTTCGCTTGCTGACTAAATAGCGGTTTCCCCTCTTTTCAACCCTTTTACATCTAAATTTGTACCAAGTATAACGTATATATTGTGTAATAAGGTATATATTGCTTGTTGCCCCCGACACATCAGCATCACCGGTATGTTTCACCCTTTAAAAGGGGGTACTTCTGGTGTAAGACATGGGGTGGCTGATTCCTCAGCAGAGGCATAAAGAGGGGGTGGTGGCCTCTGAGGCAGGCTAGGTTCACTTGGGGTTGAGGGGGTAGTGTGAGTGAAAAACGGGGGTAGTTGAGGGATTTTGAGGTCCAACAGTCGATGAGGGGGGTAATGAACTGGAAAGTACGGGGTAGGAGTAAGGGTGGGCCTAAGGACGGTCATGAAGGGGTAGAGGAACATGTGAAATAGGGGGTAGGTAACAGGGGTAGTATTTTTGTTTCAGTCAAGTAGTAGTGAAGAAAAGGCAGCAAGTCGTAATTAGACCATGGACATTGACTCAATCATGGGCAAAAAAGGGGCAGGGGTTAAATCGATGGGGGTAGGTCATTCAAATAATCACTCAAACCGGTGCTTTCGAAGGGATAAATGAGGGTAGGGGTACTTGTAGAGGGGGTCAGGGTGACATTTGTCGGAGAAGGGATTTTGTGCCTCCTGCTCCTGCTCCTAATTTGCGCCTCCTCCCCCCCCCCT